GAACGTGTAAAATTCCATGTTTATTTAATATCCATTACCTAGCCTGTTTATCGAAACCAGACTTTGTAAACACAAATAACATTCCTAATGAACAATATCATATAGTTAAAATTCTTCCTGTATTTTCACATGAATAAAGATGTCATTAGGCAAGAATTTCAACAATAAGGACCTTGCTGCGAATTGGCATGACAGCTCCCAATGCTTCAAGGCGGCATCAGCCTCCATCAGCTTGAGAGGAGAGGTTAGCAGCTGTGCATCAAGGATCTCAGTGACCAGCATGCCCACCCTCAGCTGTCATGAAAGCCTCCTCCTATCTCAGCTGGTGTCCCGTGTGGCCTGTGTCACGGTGCCTTCTCAGAAGACACATCCAAAGCTCAGCACCAGTATACCTGGGGCCACAAAAAAGGCAACAAAAACTAAAGGCAATATACAGATAATGGAAAAAAGTCACTGTAGTCAAGGAGAAGTTTGAGTGTTATACTTAACAATATTTTGATTATTTTTACAGTTGCTCATATTTATTTTAAAATTTACTATGTGCCAGGCACTATGTTAAGCACTTAACATCCACTATCTTATAAAATGGTCACATTAATACTTTAAAATAAGCACTATAATTATCTCTATTTTATAAATAGGGAAGCTAAGGCTGACAGAGGTCAAGAAACTGGCATGTGATTTCCTGGTAAGCAGGGTAACAAGAATGCCCTTGTGTCTTGATGCCCAGCCCAGGCAAGATCAGGAGCTTCCTATGCCCGACATTGTGGATGAGCTGATAGCTTCTTCAAAGCCATTCATAGCCCTTCTCTGCCTTGCTTTTCTCTATTATGGAGGCTGGAGAACTAAAATTCTTGACATTTTAAGAACTCTTTCTGTTTCTTAGGTAATATTTTTCTTTTTCTTCCAATTTTTACATTCCAAACCACAGCACAGCTCTCTTCGCCCCTAGGAGTGACCAACAGATACAAGGTAAAGTTGCTAGCTTTGTAGAACATTTTTGAAGAGACAGACTCAGTTGCATAACAGATCTCTATTTAAGAGGGTAGATCTAATGTTAAGGGTTCTAGCCATAAAGAAAAAAAAAGGAAAAGAAAGGAAAGAAAGACATGGCTTCCTGCTCTTCTTACCCCTCAACTCTTCTTCTTTACCTGCCCTCAGTTATCCATCCTCAGATTCGTTGTTACATAAGGGGAAAAATATCCTTTCTGGTAAGCCATGTTAATTGGGTACATGTGACTGACTATACTAATTACACAAAATTGCTTTATAGTTTTGTGACTTATTGTGGCGGGGTGCTAGAATCACTCATAATTGTTAAGTAAAATGATAAATGACTGAATTGTACAACGTAATTGTGGTATATTCTGTACCATATTTCTACAACTAAATTAATAATGGATGAGTTGCCTTTCATTTGAATACTAAACACTAGCACATCTGAAACAGCTCTCAGTTCTTCTTGCCATAAGTATTCAGGTTAAAAAATAAGCTCTCTGGGCTGTGTGCACAGAAAGCATGGCTATAGCCCTGATCAGAGGGTTCCAAAATCTAGAATTGGACTCATTGTTGGGCCCAACACAGAAGAGAAGGAGAAAATCTAGGAGAGAAAATAAGTTTCTGGAAAAGGTGAGATACTTCGATATTTTTTTAAAAAATCAGTTTAACTGAACAAAACCCACTTTCTAACCCCATTTCACTTGTTAATGATTGAAATCCCATCTCTGATGCTCATTGGGTGTATGATCTTAGACAAAGTTATTCCACCTCTCTGAGATTACCAATTGTTTTCAAGCATAAAGTCAACATTTTACAACGTATCATATAGGATTGTTTTTAGGATTAACTGAAACAATGAATGTGAATTGTTTACTAATCTTCTTAACACATCAAATACAGTTAACAGATTTTAATCCATCTCCCTCCCAGTTCCCCATCACAGAAGGACAACTTCAAAGACTTCTGTCTAATCTCTGAAAGCATTCTTTACTTTCTTACTTCACAGCCCAGTCACCATACACTGGCAACATTTCATTGGACCCAGATATTAGTGAAAGACATGCCTCCTACTAGGATGTAAGGTTCCTGATGGCAGTAATGTCTTATCAAACTTTACATTCTTCAAGACTTTGAGTTTCTAAAGAGTTTCCAGGTAGATCTCTGAAAAGAGGTTTTGAGCCCATTGTAGTACCATGTAATGATTTATCATTCCAAATGCCTCATCTTTTTTAAGGTACAATCTTGTCAGCATTTACTATCCACTAAGCACAATGCTTGAAGACCTTATTGTGGGGAAGTTGGGATTCCTATAGTCAGGATCCTCACTGAACTTAAACCACCTGAGGATGAAACTAGCCTGTTGCTGGGCTACTGCTTCCACACCTTTAGGCAATAAGCTATTATTGTGCTATATAGAGAGCTCAGCCCAGTACTCTGAGTGGAGGCAGAGTCGCTGGTGCTAAACCTGGTGCTGGGAGAACAAACCGGGTAATAAATCTTTTCACCCCAAAGAACGGTTTGCTATCGATTTCTTTGGTCACATTAAATCTATAGTGAACTTGCCTGGGGCTGAAACCCATTGGCAAGACAATTGGTGAAAAGTTGGCAGGGTTCATTGTTGACCAAGGAAAAAGACAGGCTGCCCTTATGGGAGGGGTGCTTCAGCAGGCTGCCCTGTGAATGGGGAAACAGTGGCTCGTTCCCCAGGGGGTATGTGGTCTGAGGTGGCTTGCCTCCTAGAGGACTGGGCCCCACCCCAAGACTGGAGGCAGGTGGAGGTGACACCTGAGTTAGTAGAGGTCGCCCTTGGTATAGTAAGCAGATCCTTTGAGAAGCAGAGTGCCTGTGAGGCAGTGGGGACTGTGAGCTGGCTGCTTCTCATGGTATTAAAAAGGTCTACAGAAGAGACCCAAGAAGTGGCGGCACAAGAATGCGAGCTATAAACTTCTGTGGATTCCCTGAGGAGAGAAGTGGCATTGATGTGAGAGGAGGTAGCACAAGAATGCGAGATGCAAACTTCTGTGGATTCCCTGAGGAAGGAGATGGCATTGATACGAGAGGACGCAGGACAAGAGCGCCGGCAGCAGGGTGCCATTGGAGATGAGACAGCAGTGCTGCCAGGTGTTCTGAAGGAGGAAGAGGCCATCAAGGAAAAAGATGAACTCCTGAGGGAAGCACAGGTGGAGGTAGCAGGAGAACATCAGCTGCAAAGCATTGAGCTGAAGGTAAGAAACCTTCTGAAGACAGAGGGAGCACTGCTGTGAGGCACAGTAGAAAAGGTAAAGGTTGTAGCTGAGGAGGCACTCGGGGGAGGGGAGAGAAAAATGCCATCAGCCCCAGAAATGGAGGAGCTGGAGCAGGATGAAGGGGTGGTGCCAGAGGCACTGGCCCCTCCTGTATTGAAAGCATGCCCAGTGGTTGTAAAGAAAATAAAGACACAGCAGCTGAAAGTTCCCCAAGGAGAGGAGCAACCCCCTCCCCAGGGCATGGAGCACTCTATGCTCCGCTCCTATACTCAGGCTGAGCTGGTGGATTTGGGCTCCCGGTTTAAGCAGAAGCCCTCGGAGTCAATATCAGCTTGGCTCCTGCATCTGTGAGACTTAGGGGTGGATGGAATTGTTGTGTCAGGATCAGAGATGGGAAAGCTGGCTTCCCTGATAGTGCAGCCTGCCTTGAGGCAGCGATTACAAAATGCACACCAGACCCCAGGGAGTCACCCCCTCCTCCATTGGCTTATGGCTGCACTTCGTGCTGTGTGGCCCAATCCGGATGATCTGCCATCATCTCCTGCTAGATGGCATACATATGCTGAACTCCAACAGGTGTTATGAGAGCTAGGCATAAGAAATGCCATCTATAGTCCAGAGAATAATGGCCCAGATGAAGAGATTTTCACTACTGGGATGAGAAATATTGTGCTTCAAATGGCTCCTACATCCCTCTTTGGGTCTCGAGTGACCATTCTTTCCCCTCACTTAGGGCATCCCATAAGCGAGGTGACACATACAGTAGCAGACTTTGGAGAGACTGAAGCCAAGGTTTGGCCACCAGAATGACATCTTGCTACCAGCAGCAACTGCACTGAACCCCGGAGACTCCATTGAATGGATGTGGCCTTGGACCTTTCGACACATGGACCAACGATGGCTGGCTCTCCTGGCACCTTGGGGACAAGGCCTGGAAGCTGGCCTCCTGTGTGTTCCTGGAATAACAGCAGAGTGGCTGCCAAAGGTCACAGTAGTATATCCTCAACGGCCAGAAGGTAAGAGCATCTTACTGGGGAGTTTTGTTTTATCATTATGGCCAGTGCATGCCCCTCCAGTAGCACTGTATATAGATCCTTCAGTAACCCCCATGGGGAAAGGAGTAAAAGTATGGTATACTAGACCTGGAAGGGACCCCCTTCCTGCTACAGTCCTATCATAGGTCCACTCTCTTGCATGCATCCTACCTGATAGCCGAGATTTGCCTATATTGGTGGCATTAAAACATGTGTCTTATCACCCCTAAAGTCTTTGTGGACTGGGAACTTCCTCTGGCTTGAGGATTATTATAATTTTTGTTACCTGTATCAAAATGTTGCTGTATCTTAATTTTTATTATCTCTAAGTTGTTGTTATCCTCTGTTGCTATTGTGGAACCTGGTTCCAATGCTCCAGCTTTTTCGCACAGGGACCATTGTGGAAGATCGAAAGCGTGTAGATTATAAGGCAAGAATCCTGGAGGGGTGGACTGTGGGGAAGTTGGGGTTCCTATGGCCAGGATCCTCACTGAACTTAAACCACCTGATGATGTAACTGGCATGTTCCTAGGCTACCGCTTCCACACCTTTTAGGCAATAAGCTATTATTGTGCTGTATAGAGAGCTCGGCACAGTGCTCTGGGCGGAGGCAGAGACGCTAGTGCTCAACCTACTGCCGGAGAACAAGCGGGTAATAAACCCTTTCACCCCAAAGAACGTTTTGCTGTCAACTTTTTTGGTCACACTGAATCCATAGTGAACTTGCTCGGGGCTGAGACCCATTGACAAGACACTTACTTACACAGCAATTGTGAAGAGAGGCAACCCCTATTGTGGATAGTAATAAATAAGCATGAAAAAGGAAGAAAAAAAACAATAAGAAATATCCTATAATGATTGTTTGCTGGGAACTTTCACTATTTGGGGCACTTTATACATGAGAACTAATCCTCTCCACAACCCTGTGAAATGGGTGTCATTAGCTCAGTCCCATGAAAAGGAAAACCAAGGGTCAGAGACTTGGCTGGCATGAACTGGTAAGTGAATTCAGGGTCACATAACCAGAGTTTTGCTTCAGATCGCTCATATTCCAATGTTGGAGCTCTTTGCATTCCATGTACCACATCTCAGAAAACACGCAGATTATGAATTTCTGGAAAAGAGAAAAGGCAAGGAAATTATACATCTAAATTCAATTATTCAGATCTATATCATCAAAATTACTTAATGCTAATAAAAACATAATGTCCAATATTACTATCATAACATACAAAGGTCTCATTTAACAACATTTCTGTGAGACAGATATTACTACCTGTTCATATGAATAGATGGTGAAATTCAGAAAGAGAATGGCCTTCTGAAGCGGCAGACCTCGGACCCACAGCCTGACTCTCTGGCCTCGTCCAAGTCTCTGACCACCACGTGGCCACATTCTAGTCTTTGTGCTGCTTTGCTTGAATTTCAGTGAAAAAGAACAAAGGAAGGGGTGAGGACATTAAATAGTCACCCTCTTTGGCCCTCTGCCTTCCATTATTGAAAATGCTTTTTGCTGAACAAGGATTTTTTTTAACAGGATGTCTTCTGAGAAGGCATTGTGAAAACATGTGGGTTCAATAAAGCACTTCTTGCCTGAGCAGGTTGGATGAGTATTAGAGTGATTGCCTGAAGGTCTTTAGATCATTCCTGGTTTTCAATGTGTCCCTTTTCTCCCCCTTAATGTCTGCTTTCAAACAAGCAGTGAGTAATCAGTTTAAAAGCTGGAATAGCTCTGGGGTATTTAACAGGTGGTGATGTCTAGATCACCAGTTCAGATTCAAAAGTACATGGTTCTCCCCTTCTAACCTATGACTTCAAGCAGTAAGACCAGACCAATATCTTTAAACTAGTATATTGCACCATAAAACCATTCCTTCCTACATGCTTTACAAGTGCTGCTAAGGAATCAAGTAGGATTATTAAACTGAGAACTAGCAGAGCAGTAACCATCATTTACTCCAAAGACACCTGGTGTGTTTCTTGTGCTATTAGAAGCAGGGCAGCTGGATATGAGCAACCCAAAGATGCCTGAATCAGGAAGACTTAATCATATTTATAGGTAATATTCTGGTTCCTGAAGTGGACCAAAAATGTAAAGGTGTCCTTCGCAGCCTAGCACTTGCAAAGGCTTCTTTCTGTTTGGTTGAGGCAAACATTATGTATTTGTCATTATATTCCTTCTTGAACCCCTGTTTAAGACTGTGAAATGTGATATTAGCAAGAGTAAACATTTTTATTTCACTGTTTTTTCTAACAAATATTTACTAATTTAATCACAATAAACCTCTGAGATAGGATCTATTATTATCCCCATTTTACAGATGAGGAAACTGGCACAAAGAGGACCAGCAACTTCCCAAATTCATGCAGATAATTAGTGAAGCTAGGATTCAAACTCACAAGTCTTCTCCAAGACCTTGCTCTTTACTGCTAAACAATAATGCCTTGCTTAAATATTTAATGCAGTAACAATATTTTATAGTTATCTAAGAATGAAACTTTAGTACAAAGCTATAGACATGTTTCTAATTATTTAGTGGGTCCATAACTGACCTGAAAAAGAAATTTTTATTCCAGAAACTATGATTAGAATGTAAACTGGGCCAGCCACTGTGGAAAACAATATGGAGGTTACTCAAAATTCTAAAAATAGAAATACCATACAACTCAGCAATTCCACTTCTAGGAATTTGCCCAATGAAAAGAAAATCACTGACTTGAAAGCTATACACACACCTATGTTCACTGCAGCATTATTTGCAATAGCAAAGATATGGAGGCAACCCAAATGCCCATCAATAGAAGAATTGATACAGAAGTGGTACATAATCACAATGGAGTATTAATCAGCCATCACAAACAAGGAAATCTTGTCATTTGGGACAACATGGATGGGCCTAAAGGTATTATGCTAAGTGAATAAGCCAGGCAAAGAAAGACAAATACTGTATGATTTCACTTACATGTGGAATCTAAAAAACAAAACAAACAAACAAAAAAATAGACCCATAACTATGGACAACAGACTGTTGTTTACCATAGGAAGGGGAGTGGGAAGGGAGGGTGAAATAGGTGAAGGGGATAGAGGTATAGACTGCAAATTGTAAATTGTTAGTCACAGGAATGGAAGTACGACATATAGAATACAACCGAAAATATAATATCATGGTATGGTAACAGGGGGAACTACACTTTCTGTGGCAAGCATCTAGTAATGGATATAATTATCAAGTCACTATGTTTTACATTGGAAACCAGTACAATATTGTTTATCAACTCTATTCCAACTTAAAAATCTATAGTTTAATTCCTAATCTATTAGTTGTGCAAGTTGTATTTTTAGAAAAAAGATAATATTGTTTTATCTACAGAATGATAATAATTATTATAGAAAGAAGAAAATTTCATGAAGAACCTAAAAATTAAAAAATGTAATATTTTAAATGGCTGTGTCCAAAAAGGTAAGCTAGAGCTAATGGGGCACCTATTTGAGGTATGTTTAATTTACAAGTAACAAAAGGCTCCTATATTCCTCTCATCATTTCTGGGCACTGTAAACATTGTATTAATGAAAATGCTAGTTCAGTTGGTGGCATTTCAGACAAGGAAGCAGAGGCCGTACTTTGGAGCAGAACATAAACATAATTGGAAAAGGTGATGATGTACTAAACCATATTTACACAAGCATTTGAAATAATGGCTCATGAGGCCTGTAGAATATTTTTCCCCTTTTAAAGCAATCACACACAGTGCCCTATTGGTTCAGTCCTTGGTATCTTCTTCATGCTATAAGTCTTCCTCCTGGATAGGAAATCTAGTCCATATTTCCACCATTTTTCAAATTAAGCTCCTCTCTCTAGCTGGGTGCTTGGATGAAGTAAAATCTAAGGATTCCTCAATTTGTTTCATTGCTTTTTGAAATCAGAATTTCAACCAGTGGTGATCAGAATGACAAACTCCTAAACTTCATGTCATGGCAGGGAGGACGCGCACGGAAGCAGGTGTGTGTGGTTTATTAATGTGCCCAACCAGACTATTGCCGTGATGACAAAAATTTTGGAGTAGAGACTGGTAAATATGCTCTCTCTGGAAAAAAATGCAAATTTAAAATGAGGTGGACTTTCCCTCTATTGCATATTTATTTACCAAAGTCACAGAAAGCCCAAACTCATTTCAGCCTTCTTGAAAAGCAAACCAAAAAATGATTAAGCATCTTTGATAAAAGTGTGGGTATATGGCTGGAATGCTGAATATCATAGAGAAAAAAAAAGCAACTTCCTACACATTAAAAAAAAACCCTATTCTGATCATAAATCATTTCCAAGTAATCTACCGAATAAGTGTGAATATATTAACTTGAAGTTTTTCTGAAATTTTCCTGAAAGTTGCACACCTCAAGGTTTCCCATTTCTGACCTTACTAGAAACATGGACTTTCCATTTATACATCCTAGACACATACTATCCAAGAAGACACCAGCATATACTGCAGTAGAGCACTGGTACTCAAACTGTGATCCAAGAGTCCCTGGAGGCCCATGAGAATCCTACATAGCCTGTGGACGGTCCTTATATCATGCAAGGCTAATCAAATATCAGTGGCAAGGGCCATCCTCTTTGTTCCGGCATGAACTAATAATTTACTTATGATATATAGTAAAATTAGATGTCAGCTCATTATTGCCTCATCAAAAAGAACACTAATTCTGATGAATTACTTTGATAGGTATGGCTGGAGAAGGAGGGGTAGGCAGCAAATTCTTTGGCTTTGTTCAAGGGGGCTGAGGATTGAAGTTTTGTTTTTTATTAGTCATGTTCTTGGACTCCTATTTCTATGGCATGCTGAGATTTCCAGACTATTGAAGATGTGATGATTTACTGATCCTGAATTCTATGAGAAAAAAGTTTATACATTCTAAAAGAGATAGGTTTCAGATGACATATGGAGTATAATTTTCAATGAAAGATTTCTCTTAATCTTGAGCTTTAACCATTTCTGTTGCTATAGTACCTCTCAAAAGTGAACATGGTTCATAAAGTCCTCAGACTGCCTTTTGGCACATTAACACATTCTTCCCAATCTCACATTGGAAAGGCAGGAATTATGGCCTTTTTTCTTTCTTTTCTCATCCCTCCTTCCCTCCCTCCCTCCCTCCCTCCTTCCTTCCTTCCCTAGCACCTAAGAGTCTCCTCCGTATAATCAGTTTGAATGAGTGCATAGAGATACCTCAAGTAGATGATATACTGTACAGTGATATTTGATCACCTAAATGTAAGTTATCATAAGTGAAAAACATAATTTTAATGCTTTTTAAAAATGTACAATGACCTCATGCCATGCCAAAATGTCTCCTGACAGAGTCCTTCTGTGAAACCACACTACCCTGCATAATCATTTTCAAAAGAACATTGGCCTCCACTTTCATATCATTGCCTCCCTGCATCACATATATGATTCTTATGAATTTAAAAACCTACTCCCAACCCCAAGGTTTAGATTCACTAACCCTAGGTTTCACTAACTGATTCCACGCACTTTTGTATCAACATCTATACTGCAGTGCTCAAGCATCTTACAACATGCTCTTTCAGGAGCATCTGTGTTTTGGAGAAAGTGACCAGTCTGTTCCCATTCAGGGCTCATAATGTCAGCTCACTTCTCCATTGGCACCTTTCTGGCTCACCAAAGATTGTGGAGGAAGGATATTGTGAAAAGACTTAGTCTGGTCAACAAAGCAACTAAACACTGAGTTAGATAAAATATTGCTATCTTAACAAATGAGACTTCTCAAAGGACTGGAGGAGAGAAAATCTTTATGAGGAACTTTGACTTCAAATTTGAGTTTTTGAGATATTTACCTTCTGAGCTTAAAATCTCCAATTTTTGTACTTCTTCATTTCTGCATAATTGTTCCCTCTATACAGAATGTTCTTGCCTCCTCCAAGACAGGAACTCAGTCTTCTGGGACCATATCCAGTGTGATCTCCTTTATGAAATCTTTCACAATTTCATTATTAAAACGTGTTTGCAATAAATTTTTCTTGCATGGCACTTCTCCTGGGTCAAACTCTAAGGCCTGTGTCTTATTCATCTACATGTCCACCTAACATTGTG